AATAATAATAATAATAATTTTTATTTAGGTAAGGTACATACATACAATAAATTTTTACAAAGATTGGTTGACTTATAGGTAGAGCTAGTACATACAATGCCTAAAGCCACTATTACGCAAAGCGTTTCGGGCATGATAAACTTAAATGACAAGCTTAATACTAATTGAGCATAATGAGTAGAATGAAAACAAGAAATGAAAACATAGATGAAAAAGCAGCACAAATACAATTATGTCAACAAACAGCGCTCTTAAAAAAAAACAGACATTGGTTGACAATAGAAGGGTAAGGTAGGTTACAGGGAATTTATTAGGTATAGCTTCGTTTTTGACTTAAACTGGTTGAGAGAGGTACAGTCTTTAACATGGTTGGGAAGGTCATTCCACATTCTGGGCCCCTTGATTTGTAGAGCATTTCTAGTTTGATTAAGTCGTACTCTAGGAATATCAAAACTGTATTTAGAGTCAATACAATAGAGAGTCACCAGGGCAGGGCGGGGTACATAATATCTGATCTTAGAAAGAATGCCCACAGTTTTTGAAACTTTTTTTTTATATATTTAGAATGTGTCCCTGGAAATTCAGCTTGTGGTCAATGAGAATGCCAAGGAATTTGCCATCTAATTTGTTACAAATTTGGGTATTGTTTATTTTGAGATTTATTTGATTATAGGATTTATTGCCAAATAGAATATAAAACATTTTGTCAATGTTAAGGGTGAGTTTGTTGGCAGTTAGCCAAAGATGGACTTTCTCTAGCTCAGTATTTACTGTGGCATTTAGAGCAAGGGGGTCAGGACTGGAGTAAATGAAGGTTGTGTCGTCAGCAAATAGAATTGGTTTGAGGTGTTGGGAGGCATTTGGAAGGTCATTAATGTAGATGAGAAAGAGGAGAGGGCCAAGTATGCTGCCCTGAGGAACACCAATGTTGATGGGTAGGGTGGGAGAAATTGTATTATTCACAGAAACATACTGGAGCCTGTCAGTAAGATAAGATTTGAGGTATTGCAGGGAGTTTACCTCAATAAACTTATTTCAATTTCAACCGGGTAGTTGTGTTGAAACATACACCAGTGCCAGGCACTCATAAAAGAGTGCCGGGGGAATCACCACTTGGGATCATCTGTTGTTTGAGGACACACCTCCCCTACACCCACCAGCACCACCTACAACCACTAGCATCACCACCACCCCTATACCTAGGAAGTGATGGAATGGAATGTATTAAGCAGTGATGTGGTGGAGGCTGACTCCATACACAATTTCAAATGTAGATGTGATAGAGCCCAATAGGCTCAGGAACCTGTACACCTGTTGATTGACGGTTGAGAGTCGGGACCAAAGAACCAAAGCTCAACCCCTGCAAGCACAAATTAGGTGAGTACAACTAGGTGAATACAGCTGAGGGGCGGGACCAAACAGCTGAAGCTCAATTTCCTACGCATAACTAGGCGAGTCCATAGGAATTACCGTTTGTCTTGGCGCCATCTATGTTTTGACAGCAGTACTACTAATGTTCCCACGTTATGTGATGATCACTATACGGGTGTTACGGTCAGTTGCTCTTCTATATATGTTTATGGACAACGTAGGTGATTTGAGGCAATTTACGGCCAGAGTGAAATAGTATCCACGCGGTGAGTGATGGAGGAGGATATATACTGCTGTGTACTCGACCAGCGGGTGAGAGGTAAGTTATATCGAACAATTATGGGGAATAGATGGGTTATTTTAAGCGTAGAATGTCAGGTAACCGGTAACTACACAGATGGGGTAGTGTTTTTTTAAGTCTTTATTTACTAAAGTGGAACATTACATTATGCCTTTAGCTGAACAAGTCTACTGGTGGGGGAAGTAGACGGGTTTTATGAAAGTATTTTACCTAAATATTTGTATTTGGTTAACTAGTTCAGCCGTTACCAGGGAGGATGTTCCTTTAATCTAATCTAAAAATTCTAGCCGGACAAAGTGATTAAGTAAAGAAATTGAATAGAACGAAGTGGTTTGCCAGGATGCTTAACATTTAATTTAGTTCACTTGCTATGCAGCCCATGCTTAAAGAATGCAAGTTTATCATATTGAATCTACCGTAGTTTTACTGCATTTAATATACCGTTTTTACCATATTTAATTATGTCGGTAAAGGCCGGTCGTGGAAAGTTCCTAATATAGCAAGTTTTAAAGGAAAAGTTTGAGTTAACTTTAACGCTTAAGTTAGTGACCAATTAGCTTAGTCTATTGTGAGGAAAGTTACTAGAATCTAACATTGCAAGTGCCATTTCTCCTCTTTTTGAGAAACATGACTAGATACATGAATCGCATAGTTTTATTACTAAATGTTCATGGATTAGGTTGCATAGTTGAGGAAATGGTGATAAGGTTTGTGATTTTGTGTACCTTGACTTCAGCAGAGATTTTGATAGTGGCGCAAAATTAATAGGGGCTCGAATCATTGGGAATGCTGACTGAAGTTGATTAGGTTATGGCTATACCAAAGGAAATTGGTATAAATGGGGTTAAGTTGGGAGAAGTGTTGTAAGTAGTGCCTAAAAGCTCTCCTTGGACCTCGGTTATTCGCAAGATTATGGTTTAGACTGCAATAGTTGCAGAATTGGCAAATAAAAAATACCGATGCGCTATATAGTTTTGAAATGGTTAAGACTACCAGATGCAGTTTAATGGTGACAAATGTAAGGTTTGGGGGCTAGGTAAAGGAGATAGATGGTGTAGATTAAGAGTATTAAATTTCTTAAATTAAATAAAGTATTTAAATTTTTTTAAAAATAAAGTGTGGCTTATAGTTCTATTGCTACAGAATCTTTTGGCATAAGCCAGTGGCAGTGGCTTATCAGTACTGTATCAGGTTCATAAAGAAATTTATAATAAAGACCAAGTGTGGTCATAAGTGCTACAGATGGGGGAGATAGAACCTTACACCTGCAGAAGTGTGGTGATAACTAGAGAATATGGCCTTGTATAGTTGCTAGTGTAAAAATATTACTAAATTTAGTAAAACACATTGTCTTGGTAGTATAGTTGGGTTAATTATGAATTTTCAGACTAAAAAGCTTGGTACATAATTCAACAGAATAAAATTGTCCCCCTAGTAGTAAGCAGTGGTTGCAAAAGAATAATAATTTGTATATAAAATTTTTTTATTGCTTTTATTAAAATGTTATACATGGTTGTTAAATTAAAGTTTGTTTGCAATGTTCCAGAAAAATGTTCATGACTAAAGTTGATGGAAAATAAAATTTGTATAGGATGTTAACTTGAAATGACTATAGCTTTGTAATTAATAGATGGGACAACAAGATACTTAGTGTGCCGTTTAAAATGGCAACTGTTAAACTGGTGGTACAGGTATGAACAAAATAACATCGCTATGCAAATAACTTTTTAGTAATATTTACTGTTCACATGACAGGTTGTGGAAGGTCCTGGCAACAAAGAGCTGCAGGAAAATACTTGCAGATCTACAGTAAGTAGTGTTGTGTACATTGGAATTAGAGGGTAGAAGTTAATTGCTAAAAACCTATTAAATATTAGGGTATGGAAGTCTAGGCTTAGGCTAGTGGGTACCATATCTGCAAGTTTCGTCCTTTCAGGAATGTATTGAATAGACTGGCATGTTGAAATTGTGAAAATTGTAATGTGGGGCATTAGATCTTAAACAGCATAGTTGAGGGTGTTTTATTAATATTAATGAAATATAAATCTTGTTAATTTAACATTAAATGTTTGTTAAATAAGCTTTAATCTATAAATGTGTAACTGTTAAGGGTAATCATGAGTCAAATAAAGTTAATGGCAGGAAAAGTTTTGTTGTAAGTGATATTTTTCCCTTGAAAGTAAAAATATTCAATGTTTACTTTAGCTTGGTTTAAAATTTATATAGTTTTCCAGAATGTGGTTTGGAAAGTCCAGAAGTCCCTCTGTGAGTAAATTGCTTCAACAGAATCAGGTGAGTTGTAGTAAAGGTTAATCTGAATAGATTTGCATAAAAGTAAAAAAATAGTAATAACTTTAAACAATATAGCATTGGCTAAAGATAAATGTAAATTGCCATTGAAGTGCAGTTGTGGATAGTTTCTCAAATGACATTTACTGAAACTTGGCAAATTGATGCCATATATTTATATTGCTAAATTAGATCTTTACTACTGCTACTAGAATATGTAGGAAAGGTAAATTCCTTTAAGAACTTTTTTCCATCTGAATTTGTAAAGTACTGAATGCTAACTTGAAAAGTAAAGAAAGATTGGCTTTAAATCTGAAATTAATTTGTTGAAATATTTTTCAGGTGAAAGTAATTATGATGTATGGACTGGCTTGGAGTGAGGCTCCTTTACTCTGCAAAAGTGGGAGAGTTTGAATTTGATGTTTTAGCTATATCAATGACCTAATCTTAATTCTCTTATCTAGTCCATTTATAGGTGTGTAACCATGTCCTACTGTTACAACCCACAGGGGATGATGCAGTTTGTACTGATCCTACCCAATTTCATAAAAGGGGACCAGGCAGTCCTGCAGATTTCCCTGGCTTGGCCTTTTTCAGAGCTTTGCTCTACTACCCATCTAATAGATGGACTAGATTTGCATAGGTTTAGGGACCCTTAACAATGGTTACATTGTTAATTCTCACAGGGCTTGTTTGCATCTAAAACTTTAGTGCCTGGCATGCATTGTACAGTGCTTTCAGTAAAGCATGTGTACAATGTGTTTGGCACTAAAGTGGTGGATGTAATGCACCCATTCCGGGAACAAGCTCTGCACTAAAATCAGAGGAAGGGATAGGCCTTGTTGAGCCTGTTAAAAGATAGGCTGTTAGGATTTTTTGGGCTTATTATTAGGCATTGGTGATAATAAAAGTAGTGTCCCTGTTTAATGTTTATTTTTCTTTTACAGGTGATTGTCTCTGGAGTTGTCTTGGCCTTTTGGATCTTCTGTTCATCTAGGAGCATCTGTCCCACAACCTGAAACAGTTCATAAAAATGTTTGTAACAGAATTTCATAATTGAAAGTAAAAAAAAGTTAAAACACAAATAACTGGTAACTGTACTTCATCTAATTGTAATATATAAATGAAGTTTAAATATGCTTTTTCTTTCAGACTATAGATCAGGAAGTCCAGAACAACATCCTAGAGTTTGAAGGTGGTGTTTGCTCGACATTCAGAATTGGGTGAGTGTGGTAGTAATAATAAATTAAAGATTTGCATTATATATTAAATAGTAAAGTTAAACAATGTAGCATTGTCTGAAGTATCTTTCTCCACTTAAATGTACTAAAGAAACTTAACTTGAATAGCCATATCTACCTTTTTAATTGCTTGATTAGCATTAATAAAATTTTAGCCAATTTTAAAGGAACACTACCATTGTGAATTTGCAAAGAAACTAGAGTAAAAAGCTGTATTTATAAGCTAATTTGGTTAAATGTTTCAGGTACTTTGCTAGATTACAATGGTATCAAAGCAGCGAGTGGCTGTTCTACTCGGCACATCTATGAAGCTGGTATGTTGAATTACATGTTTTAGCTATATAAATTGTTACCAATATGGGGATGCAGGGGTGGGGGAATACCAACTTTAAATTATAATTGAAAATAAGATTTCAGTATGCTACTTTTTAAATTGTTACCAAATTGTTACTAAAAGGGTTTTTTTTCTAGAATCAATAAATGAAAGATGGGGTGGGGGAAGTAGGTAAATAGTGTATTTTGAAAAAGGCAAATATTTAAGTTTAAACATTGCTGTGGGGAAAAATTTTATTAACCATATTAAATGTTTCATTGACAGGTTGTGGAGGGTGCTTCCAACATAACTTCAGGAACAGTGTACAGAACAATTGGTGGAACTTGTATGGTACAGAAAGTAGCACAGGGGCTGGCCAGCTGAGCAGACAGCACACTGGAGATGTGATCCTGTGGTCCCGGGTTGGCAAGAAATGGTGGGCCGAGTTTTTCACCCTATGCCCCTGTGAGTTAGTCGGCTGTAATGGGCTGCTTTGTGGGGGGACTAAAGGCCTGAAATTGCCAAGATACTTTTGCCCTCTATCATTCTGACAGTTAAGAGTACTGCAATAATTGGTATTTAAATAGTGAAGGGGCCTGGAAATGTGGGATAAAAACTGTAGTTCTTGGCCTTGACAAGTGGGTACAATAAAAGTTTAGTCCTTGCAGGAAATGTTTTGAATAGCAAAAATTTTAAAATGGAAATGTTACATTTTATTAAATTTAAGAATTGAGGGTATTTAGAATGTTTACTTAAATGGTAATTGGTTTGCTTAACTTTATTCAGTTACTTGGTTCTAAAATAATTGGCTAAGTTTTTCCATCTATAAATTGCACACAATAGTGATGCATCAAATGACCAAATCCACAAGGGCTGTGATGAGGGTTCAAATGTCCCATGACAATGTAAAAAAATTGCAACAGGGAGGTAAATTGACCTCGTGGATTTGTTCATAATTAAAAGTTAAAAAAAAAATAATGGTACAAGAGACAAATTGAATATTGACTAGTAACTGTACTTCATATTTTTTTAATGCAACTAGTTTAAATAGGCTTTTTCTTTCAGAATAAGAATTGGGAAGTCCAGCTGTTCATCCTAGAGTTTGAAGGTGTTGATTGCTTGACATTCAGAATGGGGTGAGTGTTGGTGAATATTTTAAATAGAAAAATAAGTAAGGCATCAGTGGTTGCATGTAGATAATGTAAAGTAAAAATTTTCTCTACTTTAAAGTACTTGTTAAACTTAAATAGTTTGAGTAGCCATATCTAAGTCTTGTGCTTGATTAGCATTAGTGAGAATAAAATGTTAAGGCACATTAGCCATTTGAGTTTGCAAAGCAACTTTTAATACAAAATTTATAAGTTAATTTGGTTAAATGTTTCAGGTGGTAATGGAGATTATGATGGTATCAAGGAATTGACTGGCTTAAGAAGTGTGGCTGTTCTACTCTGCACATCCAATAAGCTGGTATGTTGAATTAAATGTTTTAGCTATATCAAATAATTAACTTGCTTTCTTTTTTATCTAGTCCATTTATAGATGTGTACCAAAGTCCTACTGTTACCACCTGCAGGGATTGATGCAGTTTGTACTGATCCTACCCCATTTCATAGAAGGGGGACCAGGCAGTCCTGCAGATTTCCCTGGCTTGGCTTTTTCAGAGCCCTGCTCTACTACCCATCCAATAGATGGACTAGATTTGCATAGGTGTAGGGACCCTTAACAATGTGCAAACATTGTTAATAACTACAGGACTTGTTGGCTGAAAGAGTGGATACATCTAGAGGTTTAGTGCCCGGAACATGATGTATGTAGGCTTCACAGGAAGCTTATGTACATCATGTTGAGGGCACTAAACCAAAAGATGTGTTCCACTCTTTCAGCCAACAAGTCCTGCCTCAAAATGCAAGTAAGGGGTAGGCCTTGCTGAGCCAATCTTAAAAGATTGGGACTTAGGGGTTTTGGTAGTAATTTGTATGTGTTAGTGTTAATAAAATGAGTGTCCCTGTTTGATATACTTTATTTTTCTTTTACAGGTGGTTGTTGTCCTTGGTACTCTGGATGTTTTCCTGGCCTTTGAAGTTGTTTGGAGTCTTCAGTTGAAACCTCAACCTGAAAAAATTAACATTAGTTATATTGTATACTATTTAATAAATCTTTTAATGAAAATACTTTATACTTTATCCTGAAAGTAGCTATAATTTAATCATGCTGGAAATTTATATAGCAAGTTTTTTTAGATATTGTTTGTATAAGAGTTTATATAAAACTATAATAAACAAAGGTATAATACAAAATATATAAAGCTAATATAAACTTAAGTTTGTTTATTATATAAAGCTATAATAAGTATATATAACAAAGTTATAAACTTATGTTAAAGTTTATTATATTATAACTTGGTTATATATACTTAGCTTTATATAATTAAACTTAAGTTTTTATTAGCTTTATATATTTTACCTTTAAGTAACATAAGTTATATATAAAAAGGTAATATTATACCTTTAAGCAACATTACAAGTGAAAACTAATTTTGACAACTTAAAAGCTTTGCATACCAAACTACTCATTTTTATAGTTATCAGGTTAAACTGCAAAAGATAAATTTTAGCCATTATTTTAATAGTTAATTTAATCTAACAAATTTCACTTTTAAAGCAAATGTATAGACTAAAGTTAAAGCTATGGAACATTGATTAGTGGAAATTTTGTAAAAATTTACATCAATGATAAGATTAAACTAAATTAGCTAAAAAAATTTTTCCCACAAGTGTCACAACTTGATAGGAAACATGAAAGTGTTTCCTAACAATATTGTCTAATGGTACCAAACCCTTCAATTTTCTACGAGTCTAAGAAGAAACAAAACCATTAGACATGTCCAATCTGTTAATATAATGATGCACTGAAGTGTCCTACCAAATATTAGTAATGAACACTGAATTATTCACACCAGACATCCCATTACCACAAATGTTTCAAACTGCTGAAGATAACTATCTGCCTATAACAAGCACCATAAATGGGAAGAGCCTTACAAACTAACATTCAAAAAAACTTCAAATACCTGGAATTCAATCCAAGCTATTAAATGAATTGACAGCCAAACTTACTGCCACTTAAACTCGCTAGATAGATTTCAAATGTTACTCAAATTTTTGAAACTGCCAAGCAGAAAACTTTCAAATTACTTTGACCTCACATCTGCAAGGTCCTGAAGGGAAGAAACATTAATATTCTTGTAAAATCAACAAAACATTGGTTTGTTAAAAACAAGCCTGTTCACAATTTTTTTCTGATAACCAGCTATTCTAACACACACACTGTGTTTGATAAAGCACCATATCAAAGGCTAGGAGTGAAATATGAAGCACATGGAATAAAGGATAAAAAGATTGCTTAATTAAAACAAATAAATTAAAGCTTCCTCTGAAACAGATTTGACTGGAAAATACGGCATGAAGCGTACCACAAGGGTCTAAACCTTATATACCTCAATGACAAATCAAATTATTACAAACCACATCAATTTTGCAGATGACACCAAGATTTATGGTACAGGGAACATGAAAAAATGATATCGAGCCCTTACAAAGATCTACGGGAACTCTAAAAATGGTTACAAGACTGGCAAATTCTTATTATTATATACAGTATTTAACATTGCAAAACCTTACAGGTGAGCCAGAACAATCCATATCACAACTACCACATTAAAATGAAGAAGAACAATGAAATAAAGGACCTTTGAGCTAGATTCCGTCATTAACCAAAAGTTGCTCCAGTAAAAAACAAAAAACCCTAGAATTAATCAAGCTACCTTTTGACTTTAACGAAAAGAAGGTAATTATTCTAATGTCCAAACATTTATACACAACATATCTATAATCACTTAGATAATTGAAGCCAAGCATGGAGACCCCCCACCTTCTTTACAAAAACACATCTACTTTCAAACAACTTCAACACTGGCCAACAAAAATATTTCTAAAACTAAGTCAACTAATAACAGGAACAACCGAGAGCCACGACAAACACTCCAACTCTCTCCTACACCAAACTCTTATGCTATTAATGATCCAAATTATTTTGATATACTTCCTACAGACGAGTCCAGAGATAGGACGATCTGGCGAGTAAACTGAAGCACGATACAGGTGTCAACGGACATCAGTCAGCCCACTTGTCACCACAGGGGATAAACTAATAACATTATAACCTGCAATTTTGTATGACTCCTTGTGGCCATTTAAATCAATAAAACCCAGGGTTGTGGCAATGTTTTAGCATAAGGTAAGGCATACAGGAATGCCTGGTAATGTCTAGTCCTTGTATGTGCTTTAGGCAACCAAACTGAATAACAACATTGCTCGTGTTAGACTATTTTATCCGAGTTTCTTATTCGGTACAACCTTTTAAACCCAAATAGGAATGCGCTTTAAAGATCCATTTATTTGGAGATTCTACTTACCACAATCTAAATTACCGGTCTCTGAAAGTACTATGAGATAAGTTTAACTAGATGAGTGTTTGCCTATCCACACCCACATGAGGAATGTGACAACACTGAATAAAGAAAGGGGCTTTGAGCATTCAGCATGCAACAATTTGACATGACATAACCAATATAGCCAGGTCATACCTACCCCTCCTACATACCCCCTAACTCCTTCCCCCAATCCCATCACTCCTGCCCTCCCTTCTACGCCCCTCACTCCTACCCTCCCTCCTGCCCCCTCAATCCTCCCTCCTACCCCCTCAATATGCCCCTCCTACCCCCATCACTTTTGCCCTTTCTCCTACCCCCCTCACTCCTCCCCCCTACCCCCTACCTCTCTCCTACCACCTCCCTCCTCACTCCTCACCTCCTGCCCCCTCACTCTTACCCCATCAATCCAGCCCTCCCTTCTACCCCCTCACTCCAGCCCTCCCTCCTATCCCTTCACTCCTGCCCTTGCTCCTCCCCCTTCCTCCTACCCCCTCACTTCCTCCTGCCCCCTCCCTCCTACCCTCTCATTCCTCCCTCCTACCCCCTCCCTCCTACTCCCTCACTCTTCAATACCCCCTCATTCCTCCTCCCATTCACTCGTACCCCCCCTCACTACTACCCCCTTACTATTCCTCCCCCCTAACTCCTCCTCCCCTTTCACTATTCCTCCCTACCCTCACTCCTCTTCACCCTCATTCCCCCTTCCCTCCTCACTCCCCCTTCCCTCCTCACTCTTCCTTCCCTCCTCACTCTTCCTTCCCTCCTCACTCTTCCTTCCCTCCTCACTCTTCATTCGCTCCTCACTCTTCATTCGCCCCTCACTCCTCCTTTCCCCTTCACTCCTCCCCCCCCCCATCACTCCTTCACCCCCTCATTCCTCCTTCCCCCCTCACTCTTCCCACCCCCCCCGTCACTCCTCCTTCCCCCCTCACTCCTCCTTTTACTCCATCCCCGCTCATACCTTCCCCTCCCTTCCCCCTCCCTCTTACCCCTCACTCTTGCCCATCCTTCTTCCCTCCCTCCTACCGTTCTTCCTGCCTCTTCACTTCTCCCTCCTACCCACTTCCCTCCTCCCCCTCACTACTCTTCCCCATCAATCCTCCCCCTCACTAATCCTTCTCCTCACTCTTCCTTCCCACCTCACTCCTCTACCCCTTCTCTCCTCTACCCTCCTCACTCCTCTACCCTGCTCACTCCTCTACCCTGCTCACTCCTCTACCCTCCTCACTCCTCTACCCTCCTCACTCCTCTACCCTCCTCACTCCTCTACCCTGCTCACTTCTCTACCCTGCTCACTCCTCTACCCCTTCACTCCTCTACCCCTTCACTCCTCTACCCTCCTCACTCCTCTACCCTCCTCACTCCTCTACCCTCCTCACTCCTCTACCCTCCTCACTCCTCTACCCTCCTCACTCCTCTACCCTCCCTCCTACCCCCTCACTTCTACCCTCCCTCCTACCCCTCACTCCTTCCCTCACTTCTACCCCCTCACTCCTACCCTCCCTACTACCTCCTCACTCCTACCCTCTCTCCTACCCCCTCACTCCTTCCCTCCCTCCTACCCCCTCACTGCTTCCCTCCCTCCTACCCCTCACTCCTACCCCCCACTCCTACCCCCTCACTCCTTCCCTCACTTCTACACCCTCACTCCTGCCCTCCCTCCTACCCCCTCACTCCTACCCTCCTTCCTACCCCCTCACTCCTTCCCTCCCTCCTACCCCCTCACTGCTTCCCTCCCTCCTACCCCCTCACTCCTGCCCTCCCTCCTACCCCTCACTTCTACCCCCCCTACTACCCCTCACTCCTTCCCTCCTTCTACCCCTCACTCCTACCCTCCCCCTCCCTCCTACCCTCTCACTCCTACCCTCCCTCCTACCCCTTCACTCCTACCCTCCCTCCTACCCCCTCACTGCTTCCCTCCCTCCTACCCCTCACTCCTACCCTCTCTCCTACCCCCTCACTCCTTCCCTCCCTC